AAATTATAAATATCAATAATATTGAATTTATTTTTATAATTTATGAACTCTTTTTTTTTGATTATTGCACTAAATTATAATGACCTCAGTCCGATAAACCCGAAGATTTGGATCAGCCTCAGATGACTCATTAACAATAGTAGGCAACGGAGCCCAATGAATCCTTTCAACTTCTATATCTGTCGACCTTTCGTAAACGCGAAGTAATGCATCTACTTCAGGTGTCATTGAATGGACATAAATGAAAAATTTGGTCACACCTTGTGTTATCCAGATCTATAAAGTTTTACAAACAAATGTAAATTAAAAATAATAAAATCAGTAATTTGATAATTATGATAATATTATTAATACTAATATTGATAATAATAATAACATTATAACAATTCTTCAAATTACTTCAAATTATTATTATTATTTAATATTTATTATTTATACTATGTATTATTATTATTATTATTATTATTATTATTATTATTATTATTATTATTATTTATATTATTATTATTATTATTATTATTATTATTATTATTATTATTATTAACATCAATAATATTATTACTATCATTATTATCATTATTAACAAATAATAAACTTTGTGTTCAGAAGAAATGAAAAGTCTAAGGTTGAAATTTACTTGAAAAGAATGAAACAATTTGATGTCATGCTATAAAATTAATTACATTTTATTAAAAATTAAAGCCATTTTAAATATATATGCAAGGATCTAGAAAAAGGGAGCTAAAAAATGATGTTGTCACATTTTTCAACATGAGTTATTAATAAATTTGAAGAATTGACGCTTTCATCTCAATAAATTTCATATCTTTTAATTTTTATACCTCAAAAAATTGCACAAGTAACGTCCAATCAGCAAGCAAAAATATGGGTTGCAAGCAAACTGCAAGATAATGTCTGCGCGTTACACCAGGTATCACACGTGCATCACGTAACGTGATAGGTATTTGCAATGAAGGATGATCCCTACGTAGTATATAAGCTTCTGGCAATTTTCCATCCTGTCTGATAAGCAGTTTCTTCAAAA